CGATCCAGGGGTTGAACATGTAGGGCAGCAGGGTCGGGCGAGTGTGGCCAGCTTGCCGAAGAAAATTCCCAGGCGAAGAAGGAGCGGCGCCGACACCTCACTGAGGCCGCCCAGTTGAGAACCGTAATGCCCAGCAAGCACGAGCTTGTGTTGAATGTCGCCCCTCCATGTTGTTGGGGGTGCCATTAGCAGAGGAGGTATGGCGGATATGGACGGTCTTCTTGAGGCAGTTCCCTCGGATGAGGTAGGTTCTGGTGTCATGGGGGGGAAATCCTCTCGTGAGGGTGAAGAGACTATCGGTTGAGCACGTTGCCTTGAAGGGCTGGTGCTATCACGGCGGAATCCGTTCTGCAGCCTAGGGCGAGGTTGAACAACATCGCTTGTTTCGATGGACGCGAGAACACTGGGTCGGCGTGTGGATCTGTCGAAGGACTGCGACTTTTGTGGATCTGTCGAAGAATTTTAGCCACTCGGCATCTCATCTTGTCCATGATGCGATCGATTCACAAACCTGGGACCGGGGTGTTTGGTGGCATCGGGGAATCGAGGTTCTGAACCCTACGGCCAGGCAGGCCCATAGAAGGGCTTGAACTACGTCCAGGGGGGATGCCATCCAATATTGTCTCTCCCTTCATGGCAGCAAGAACTTCGTTGGCGCTGGGTCGTTGTACGGGGTCCAGGGCGAGAAGCCTCTTGAGGAGCTGGTAAAGCTTCGGTGGTAGATCAGGACGTTCTCTCCGTTCATCCTGGAAGCCCTGCCAATCGGTTATTTCGGCACGCAGTTCATCAATGTCCTCCAGCTCCTCGTTGATTGTATTGGCGTTCTGATAGGGTAGGCGGCCAAAACACATAAAGTACAGAATCATGCCGAGGGAAAAGATATCGGATTTGGTGGTGAAGTTGCCGTAGAAGCCCGTTGCATGGTCCTTCTTCAGGACTTCGGGTGCGCAATAGGAGATGGTGCCGGTGGAGCCCGTGGAATTCCGCACTTGTCCTCCGGGCTGAACCTCTCCGAAATCGCTGATCAGACAGATCAGATTGCCTCCCTCCCTATGTAAGAGACAATTGCTCGGCTTGAGGTCGCGGTGGATGTAGTTGGCCGCGTGGAGATATGAAAGACCGGACGTCACATCCCTGAACAGGGAATAAATCTCCTCAAAAGAGAGATGCCGTTGTGAGACTGGAGCTCGCTCAGACTGGCCCTTGGACCTCCTCCGCAGGCGCGCTTTGAGCTCTTCCTTCGTGGTCTGCTTCGGTTGGTCTCCGTTGATGTAGTTGAGAAGATCGCCGCCGTTGCAGTACTGCTGCAGGATAAAGGCACAGGCAACGCTGGGTCCGAACCGGATAAGCTTGACATCTTCGAGCCAGACGTGTCGGTAGGACACGAGATTGGGATGAGAGAGCTTCGCCAAGAGCTCGACCTCGATGAGAACTTTCTCTAGCCAAGCATGGTCGTCTCCGACCGGCACGCGCTTGCATGCAAAGTGTCCTGTGGGGGTTAGCACCTCGGGCTTGACGAGAGTCATTCCTGAGCGACGAGCATACCCAGATGGCAACCATCAATCTCGTGGCGGACCAGCAGCACGACTCCCTTGCCGCCACGTCCTAGCTCCCGCTCCTCGACGAAGAATGTATTGAAATAGTTCGGACTGAAAGCCTCCCGGCGAATGCGGCTACCTTGCTGCACACGGGGGGTGCTGGATACGAACTCGGCATCGTCAACTTCTTCAAAAGCGGCCGGCTGAGCTTGTGGCAGAACAGGACGGATCAGGCGTCGAATGGGACTAGACGGGGGTTCGCTGGCTTCTGGTTCGCCGTGCCCAGCACGCAACATGCGAAAATAGCCTGGATCAACGTATGAGTCCTGCTGCGAGGATGCCTCGAAACCATGGCGGTCTGGGGACGATGGGCGCAATGGCTGGTGGCAGGTCGGGCATTCGGTGACGCTTCGGATGGCGAGTCTTTGGGAGGCGGGATCGCGAACGACAATGGCATTCCGGTGGCGTCTATTTCACAAAAAAATCAGCAAGAATGCAGCAGATGATTCGAAGGAGCCTGAAGCGACTCACAGAACGATCTCGCGACCCTCTTGGGGGTGGTATGGTATTAGAGACATCGTGGAGGGGTTGAAGTGGATTGACGTCAGACTGCCGCTGTTTTGGCGACGGTCCTCATGTCGAAACTGGTCGTCGAAACCTGTATAACTTAAGTGGCAGGCTACTGTAAGGACGCAATGCAAACGAGGCGATTCGAAGGTGCAGGTGATTCAGATCTGCAGCGGCTGTGTTGTTCTTTTTCGACGTAGCTATGCTCGGTCGAGCATGTCGGTGAGCCAGTAAACGACAGGCCGGCAATGGCCCTGAATGCGGGCAGCTTCAGCTCCCCAAGCGCCTTTCGCCTGGTGGATCAGGCGGGGTAGCACGCTGACATAATCTTACCCGATGCCTGTGGCAGGCGCTGATTGAGTTCTTCTTGGTCTCCATCCTCACTCTTGGGTACCTAGGTTACTACCTAGGCAATCTGTCACTCCTACAGTCCAACTTTACTGAGAGCGGTAGATGGAATTGTACACCGCTCAATAGGAAAGAAATTTCCAACATCTGCTTCCATGGAGGCCTTGCTAGAAGAGATGGCCACCCAACAGCGTCTCGCGTCTTGGGTCACCTAGGCGGAAACCCATCTCCGTGCTTACACCAGCACCAAAAAGTCATTTCGGCATAACTTCAATACTCAGACCCAGGATTCCCCACAGGCTAAACACAGAGATCGCACCACGTGTGACAGAAGCCAGCCCATTCGGTGGCCAGATGCCGTTGGGGAAGCTGGAGAAAGACACCAGCTTCTCGACACCCCTTCGGGGAAACTTCTTCCTCGATCCAGGGGAGCTCTAGCGGACAGGACCCACTTGCTGGGAAGCTCACCCAGACCGTTCCTTTACAGGACATCGACACCCGCTTGCCGCTGAACATGCCTACCTATACCTCTCAAATCCTCCCCGCGACCTTCGGGGGTCGTGTCGTGCCGCTTTCCTTGGAAATGCCGTACAAGTTATCCGGCACCGCCATTCATACGACATGCTCATAATCTGATTTGATCACCTCGATACCTGTCTTCACCTCCCTACCATTGCGATGACCACCACTCTGCTGAGAGGAGCCGCGTTCATCACAGGTGCAGCATCAGGTACGCCGCTTCTCTCTCTCTCTGTCGAGCCAGCGAGACATCACATCGCTGACACCACAACAGGCATCGGTCAATACACGGCCCTCGCCTTCGCCAAGTACGGCATCACGCGCCTCGCCCTGGCCGACATCAACGGCCCCCTCCTCGCCAAGGCGAATGCAGCCCTGCAAGCCCAGCACCCGGCCCTCGAAATTCTGGCCCTCGACCTCGACGTCCAGAAGCCGTCCGAGGTCGACCGCGGCATCGCCGAAACGGTCCGCTGCTTCCGACGCCTCGACGTCGCCATCAACAACGCCGGCATCGGCGGGCTCCGGCCGGCGCCACGCACGAGATCGACGAGGCCGAGTTCGCCCGTGTCCTCGACGTCGAACCTTCCACGGTGGTGGGGGGGCTTGCAAACGGCGCCGAAGTTGCGCCCCATGCCTCGCCCCAGGAAGGACCTCGGCCCCCCGTGGCGGCCCGCGGCCGGAATCGGTCAAGGTCGCTTTCATTGTACGGCCTCTTGGCCCCCCGCCCAACAACCTCGCCAAAGGGCCTAACACGAGGGCCAAGAAGGGGGTCCTTCGGCCTCAGGCGGGCCGGAGGCCAACACGAATGCCCGGCGGGAATCCGCGTCAACCGATATCTGTCCGGCTAACGTCGAGACCCCGCTCGTGCAACAGGCCATTGTCCGCCGCCGCGAACTCGCCCCTTCGCCAACGATATCGCCCGGTACGCCGGCTGCAGCGGATCATGCAGATGGAAGAAGTCGCCGACTGCATCGCGTTCCTGGGCCTCAGACATGAGCAGTGCATGCAAGGCGCGCTCTCGTTGCAGACGGCGCTTCACGATACAATGAGAGCTCAGGGTAGTTGAGCAAGCATGAAATGATTCACGTGATGACATTACATGACTTGGTTTGCATGACCATCTGAACGCTGATAAGACATCAAGGAGAGCAGACAATTCCGTTGAGCGGGCTTATGCCTTCCTTCCACATTCTCAGACAAGGAAAATCCAAACACCAACACCAAACTAAAAGGCTACGAAAGATCCAAAATGAGAAAATTGCTACACTGTCAGAAGCTGAAGAAATCCAAGTCATGATTCCGTGCCGGTCCACCACTTTCAACATCAGTCCCTCTCGTCTTGTCCGCCGTGACACTGTTCACGAGCCCGCTCAAGCTCACAGGACTAAGCGCGTCCAGGCCGCCCTCGCTGTCCATCCAGTCCATCCCTGCCGCTTCTCTCGGCTTGCCGTCGTCAAGACCTTTCTCTCCTACGCTTGCCATAGACCCTCTGAGGCCGTCTGTCTCACCTCTCGATCCACTGTAGAGGCCATGCGAGAGCATGCTTGGGGCGACGCCGCCGCCGAGCACAGAACTGGCACTCAATCCTGCAGGCCCGGCGTTCCAGATGGCGTTGCCGCCATCACCGCCGCTGACTCCTGTGAGAGACCATGCGTCCGATTGTGGCGGCACAACGACGTAATCGTCCGCAGGTCTGTTAGTTTCATCGCCATCATTGTCGATTGCGCTGCCCGACAAAAAATCGAGACTAAATCCCGGATGCGACGTGTCAGTCGTGCTGCTTAGCGTATACATGGCTGGATCCAACTGATTGGAGTAATGGCGTGCCCCATAAGAATGGCTGCTTTGCGGAGGCGTAGGCTGCGTCGGCCCCGGGGCGAAAAACGGAGGCGGCGGGCGTGTGAACTCGCTGGCACGCCGGGAGCCCGGAGGCCGTCTCCGCTTGGAAGCCGGAGCGATGGCATCGGCAAGAGCAGTGGAGTCGCGCCGGGCGGGGATTGATGGTCCGGACCACGGATCCATCTGCTGAGCTTCAGCTTCCGGCCTCAATTGGGCGAGAACAGCCTGCAGCAGCGTGTCCATGCGTGCAGCTGGGTGGTAGGTATGGGACATGTCAGAAACGGCACAGGCAAGAATCTCGAGGTAGCCGAGATAGGTCGATCGGTCAGTGGGGTTGGCGTTGTGCGCTAGGGCGGCGATGAGGGCTGTGGCAGCCGTGCCCGCATGCTGTATTCCTGTGACGAAGATCTTCGTCCCGTCGAAACGCTGACGGTGCTGCCAGAAGATGCGAGCTACGCGAATGGCCTGCTGAGTACAAATGCTTCGCGAGAGCGAGGTGCGACTGTCGTCCACCATGGAATGCGGATCACCCATGCCCAGACCCAGTACATGAGGGTCAGTAGCAGGGTTGATAGCTTCGAAGGGGAGCCCTGCCCGATCATGTGGTGTTTGGGGCGCATGAGCCTCTGGTGAAGGATGGGACCCGGTGCTGGCGCCATCGCCAGATGCCCCGTACTTGGCCCAGGGACGGTGGAGGAGAATCATTGAGACATGGTACTGCTGATGCAGAAGAAAGAAACTGTAGGGTGCCGTCTTGATATTGGCAGGCTTCCATTGCAAGTGGTCGGGCAAGCGGCGGTACCAGTTCTGTAGCTGGCGGTCAAGATTGATGACGTGCAGGTATGCATTGTCCTCGGCGTCGGCGCCGACGCCCGAAGCATCTGCGATGCCCTGCTGATCCGGAGAGATGTTGGCGTTGCGGCTGCTAGAGACTCGATTGTTTTCGCGAGTCTCCACGATACGGCCAGCAAGCTCCATCAATTCGATGAGCTGCTCATAAATTTCAATACCAGTGGACTTCTTGTCCGGTGTCGATGTACCATCCTGTAACATGGACGAGAGTTGGGAAAAGTGTTTGGATAGGAGATCCATGCCAATGTCTTGGTTCTTGATGCTCGTAGGTCGCCCCAGAAATAGAGCCCAGTACTTGTCGTAGATGACGCAAGCCCGCATGGCCATGTGCCGGATATCTATCTCGATATCACTGATACCATTGTCGCGGCAGTCGAGATGAAGGCCAATGTCGAAAGCCAATCGATTGGCCATGCCCGAATACATCCAGCCTGTGTTATCTCTGCCGACACCGCACTCCAGGTCTCCTAGCAGCAGGAGGGCCTGGACGCTCGGGATACCTCCGGGACGCTCAAGTTCAATGTCGAGCATATACTTTGCCTCGCGATGGAGGGTGCTTTCGCGGCTGCCTATAGTAATGCGTCGCATGTCGTCTCGGCCAAAGTCGGCGAATCTGAAGCCCATGGCGAGTATAGCAATGTGCAAGAAACTTGAGTAAAATCGTGGGCTTTGCGCATCACGGTCGGCCTCAAAGGCCTCTTGATGGATAATGTTGAGAACCGAGTTGTAGTAGCCCCAGAAGTTGTCCATAAGGTAAGCATGCGTCTCAGCAGAGAGCGAGCGGATGATGCGCTCAGCACGACGGACTTGTTCAGGGGGCTCGCGGGCGTCGAGATGGTCTTGTGTGTCTGTGTAGACGTGACTGTTGGCGGTAGGGCCGAAGAACCGGATGCGTCCAGAGAGCTGATCGAAGGACAAATTGCCCTTGGTAGAGAGAAGTCGATGAACCATGTCCTCTTGTCTTGGGTCTAGCATACGGAAAGGCGATGTTTCTTTGACGCCGGGGGGCGGCGGAATGGAGTACGAGGAAGAATTGCCATTTTGACTCGCCGCCTGCTGGTCGCTCTCCTGGATGGAGAACTCCTCATTGGCTGAATCGGGGGGTGAAGGCACCTCTGGCAAAGGCGAATATGTTGTTGAGGGCTGTGCGGGGGGCTGCGTTTGGTTGTGGGCATCCTTGACCTGTTCTTCTGAGGATTTACTCTGCCCTTCATGTCGAGTTTTTGGTGGATGAGCCGCCGGTGGCGGTTCAACGCCTTTCTGCTCGAGAAGACCTTCGAGCAAGGCGATCCGTTCCGAGAGTGACGACATGTAGGCTTTCGAGATGGGTCTGCATGGAATGGGTCAGTTCGATGGCATTGTCTGAGACGCCTGAGAACAAGAGAAGCGTACCGTCGCCTTTCGTCATCATTCTTAATGACACAATCAGTTCCGGAACGTTTGCACTGAGTACATTCATTGTCACCCTTGGGAACGACACAGCGGATTCGACGCTCGCGGCACGACGCACAGGCAACTGAAGCTCTGTGGCGAATCTGCTGCTTATTGGAACTGGATCGGGGGGCGGCATTTCGAGGCGAGACATTCTCCTGAGAGGTCACGCCAGTAGTCTCCTCGGAGGCAGACTTGGTCTCATTATGGTTGGCCATGATGAAGCCAGGAACGATGTGATAGGCCTTGACGAAGCGGCAAACGACAGCAGATGGAGAAACGATCAGGAGCTGGGTTTTGTTGCGAAGTCTACTTGAATAGCCGTTGAGAAACCAGGGTTCATCGAATAACAAATCGATCCAAGAAGGCTCTCGCGGATGTAGTAGATGAGTGGAAGCTTCGCGCAGGGGAGGAAAAGATGAGGGAGTATGTTTCAAGGTCTCAGCCCAACAGAACTGGAACAGGACCTGGCTGGGGTCTAGGTCTTGAGGCAAAGCCCCACAATCTGGGCCAGAAGCAGCACCTGGCGTGCAGGCAAGCAGCTCGGACTAGTGCAGGAGCTTTGGTGTGCAGGCGCGGCAGTCTGAAGCTGGGACGGGGAAGGTACAATGGAAGAGAAGAGGGTGGCACCTGGCAGTGTTGGAATCCATGGGTCATTGGGCATTGCGCTACTCCTCAACCCCTTGTGGCCGACTCCCATCATGCCCCTCCACGAACATGAGATCATACTCGTCCATCGTGCCAGCCTAAGGGGATCAGTTGCAGGCGGGGTCTTTTGTCAAGCCCGTTTACCCTACTTGCCATATGTCGCTCTTTGTTGGCTAGCAAGATGCGGAGAAACCCATACACAGCGGGCTCTCACTCCAGGCCGAACCCGACGGATGGCGCACTAGAACCCCTTCGTATAGGGCGTTCTGACGGCCACTACCGTGAACCTCGAATCGAGCTCAAGACCTCAAATACTACACAGCCGATCTCTTGAACAGGAGCCCATGTTGGTTACTACAACACCCCAGCAGTCGCCTCACGACTCGAATCGGAGCGCGCGCTCCCAGAACCACCCCGGATTTTCTGCCCCAGATTCCACTTTCCCCGGATTCTCAACATCTTGCTCCCCTTGGCCCAGGCGTGCTGGCAAGGGTCACGCGCACGCCATGTATCTACGGCATGTCTAGGACCCCTTCAACAACGCCTAGGCCGCCTTCGCGACGGCCGCCACCCCTGTCATCCCCTGTGACCACGACCGAGACGCCGCATTACCGCTAAAGGACGCCCAAGTGTCGTCTTCTCGAGACGCATCAGAAGGAGAGGCCAATCAAGTCTCATCTCCACACGAGCAGTTTCCGCGGCTCCAGAGCTATTGCCCCGGCTAGTCCCAGTTGTTGGAGAAATAGCCGGAGCACAGGGGCGGGGTTGTGAGGAAAACGAATCAGACGCCATCATGGGGAAGCATGCGCAGCAACCCCGCGTTGGACCCCAGATATAATGACTCGGGAAAGGCCCAACTGGCTGGATCCATGACACGCGTAGGAATCGAATACGACGCCAACCCGTGTCATGCAACCTTGGGTCTGCTCGCGTTCGCACGACATGGGCGAGGCATCAATTTGATCGGCGTTTCTCAGTACTTGCACATCCGTATGCATTGCACTGTGACGAAACAGTGCAGCACATGCTCGGAGTATTAGGTCAATTGTTCGAGACCAGCAGCATACAGGGACTAGTTGTACCCAATCCATGATTCTGAAATCAGGCCAAATCCAGCTGCCCGCGCAAGGCACAGGTCTTAAGCGAGCCTAACATGTGGTACTTTCACGACATGAGACTAGGGACAGCTTGCCGGTTCGCGCGACGACGTGCTGGGACTATCTTGGTGAAGGTCATAAAAAGGCTAGCATGTCGTCGGCTTAGTGGACCACGAGACACAGTACCAACCCGGCCGAATCAGGTCAGAAACTATGGCCATCAAAGCGCCAAACCAGTCCAGGACCCCGCCAACGCCACTTGCGGCAACCAAAGATGGCGGCTTATGGTCAGTCCCAGACTGCCGTTCGCAGCGTGGCAGCCACGTTGAGTCAGTGGCCTGAATCATCGCCTGATATTTCCTAAACAGTTTTTACTAGACATTGGAAAATCGGGAGCACGATGTTGTGAGCACGTTGCACCCGCGTTGGGTGGCCCTTAGCCAACGGTCCCTGTCGATCCTGCCATAAATTCATGATCCAGCCCGGACAAGCACTATCAACTCATTTCATCACTTCAGACCATAGGATGAATAAGAATCTATGCAGAATGCTGTTTCTCTCAAATGATATACGCACACAAGAATGCGACTTCGTCCTCTGCCCTGATAACAACATGGACTCGTCGCCTTGCGTACAATCCGTCGGTGTAACGCCAGCCATACTATGCAAATTCGCACACAAGCACAGGGGAATCAATCAACGTTCCAGTCGTGATCATGATCCCGAACATATGTGCTTAAACCAAGGACATTCTTGGTCGTATTCGCCTTGATCTCGCCGTCGCCAAGGAACGCGAACCTATTGGCGTAACGGTACCGAATATTATAGTCCTCGAATCGTGGAGTCTTGATCGATTTGAGGAAGTGGATTGTCTTGAGCTACATTAGCGATTGAAACATCAGTTGGGTGAACGACACGAAGGACTTACGCAGCCAGGCCACAGGTAGATGCGGTTCTTGATCTTGCCGTCCTTGAACCAACTCCTACAGCTCTCTTTGAAGACTGTTGTCTTGTGGAACTCGTCAAAATGGGCATAAATGTCGTCGAGGGCGTCTTGCTTGACATCTATGGAGCGGATGTTCTCGTGCTGAATCTTCTTCATCATCTGGATTGCGTACTCGATTGTCGTCTCGATAGAGGGCAACAGCGTGCCCGAGGACCATGTTGCACCCGGGCCCTATAAATCATCAGTCTCAGGATAGATAAAGGCACTGCAAAACTTCGACTTACCACAATGGTGTAGTAGTTGGGGAACCGCGGCGCTGACACACCCATGTAGAGGTTGACGCTGTCGCCCCAGTCTTCGTTCAGCGTCTTGCCGGTTCCGTTGACGAGTTTGAAGGCTGGTCTGAAGGCGACGTTGAAGCCAGTCGCGCACACGAGGATGTCAATCTTGTGCGTTTCGCCGTCCGCGGTGATGATGCCCTCGGGCACAATCTGCTTGATACCTCCAAACACTGGCTTCACATTCGGCTGCACCAGGGCCTCGAGGTACCCGTCACCAGGCGAGATGCGACGACAGCCGGGAGCCCAGTCGGGAATGATGAACTTCTTCAGCTCCTCGTTACCAGGCCCGATGCGCCTCTCCATCTCGTCCTTGATGACCTGGCGGAACTGATCCGAGAGCTCGGAGCCCTGCTGGTACATGCCGAAGAGGGAGTTGATCTCAGCCTCTATCCTCTTGCGGAACATGAGGTGATACTCCGGGTCGTCGCGGAACTTTTGTTTGTCCTCCTCGGTAAACGTGTACTGCCTCTTGCCCGGCTGCGCACCCTCCTTGTCCTTCCGCAGATCCGTCTCGAGGACGCCGCCTCCGAAGGGGGGCGAAATCCACGTCGACGAACGCATAAAGACCTTGAGGTTTGTCCCGGCGACTTTCTGCAGCGCCGGCACAATCTGAACGCTCGTGCTACCGGTGCCGATGACGCCGATCGTCTTGCCCTCGAAATCGACCGCGTGGTCCCAGGCCGCCGAATGCATTTTGGGGCCGGCAAAGTCGTGCAGGCCCTCGACATCGGGCCATTTCCAGTTGTTGAGGATGCCGGTGCCGTTGACGAGGACGTGGCACCAGTCCTGCCAGGAGGCCTTGGTCCGCTGGTCCTCGAGCGTCAGGTTCCAGAGGCCCTTGGGCTCGTCCCAGCGGGCCTCGACGACCTTGGTGTTGAGCTTCATATAGCGCTTCGACCTGTTGCGCTCGGCAAAGTCTTCAAAGTAGCGCTGGATCTCGTCGCCGTAGGCAAAGTAGTGTGACCAGTCGGGCTTGGGGTCCCAGGAGAAGGTGTACAGATGAGACGGGATCTGGAGGTACCGTTAGACAGCAAGAGGGTAGAGGGGGATTCGTCGTCTGGCACCTACGTCGCAGGCAACACCGGGATATCTTTCGTCTTGTTGTTAGCGCGAAGCTGAACATTCGGGCCGTGAATAAACTCACGTGTTCTCGTACCATGTGCCGCCGAAGTGAGGATTCTTCTCGAAGAGGGTCAGCTCCCAGCTGTCGGGGACCATCTGCTTCTCCATCTTGTATGCCAAACATAGTCCCGAGGCGCCAGCACCGATGCAAGCCACACGCAGCTTTGTAGGTTTGGAATGATACTGCTTCAGAACCCTGTAGGGCGTTCCATCCTCGACGACTGGAGGGTAGGCAAAGTCTTGGTATAGATCTCCATTATCGTGGCCGTTGACACCGTTGGCGGTGCCTGTGCCATGGGAGGTGCCGTTGGTATGGCCATTCGTCTGATGGCCGTTTGGCTGGGCACTTACACCGGTTCCACTGGACTCTGCTGAAGGCGCCATGATGTCGAGGGTCGGAAGCACGGCCTTGGGTGTTTTGGGTATCGCGAACAAGGAACAACAATGCAAAGTGAGTGGGAGGACGGATGGCACAAGAAGCCGGGACAAAGTGTACATATAGCGGACTCTATTCTAGGAGGTCCGGTCACTCGGCGCGCGATGTATGGAGCACCGCAGCCCCCGTTTTGGGACAGAACAAATCTAGGATATGCAGGGTAGACATGATTCGATCTGTCGTGCATCGTTTGAGAGTTGGGCTAATGTCCCGAGTATCGCATGTGAGTATCCGAGATGGCGAACCGCCATCTGGCGTGGGCGTGGACGGAGCGACGCGAACGCTTCGGATGTGGCCTGCGGGAAGTGCATTTCCAGACGAGTGAGGTGCCTTTGTCGACACTGGTTGTCTGACCGGAGTCAGGAGGGGTGGTGTGGCCAGCTTGGGCCAGGCTGTTCGACTGCCACTGCCACTGCCGCCAGCTTGTGAGGCTTGGCGGAGGTGAGCTGTCCTTGATCCCATGCAAGCATTTCTCAACAGAGCGAAGCATGCTCGTCAGGGTAAGATTTTCCAGGTGTTGCCTGGCAGGCGATGGAGGTACGTACCGCGCGGGGAAATGCAGTACCTGGACCACCCAGGGCCCTAGGTGGTGGGAAGAAACAGCGAACTCGGCCTGACTCGAGATTTCTCTTGCGTCCGCCAACAGTAATGTGAGGGACGACTCGACAAGCTGTTGGCCATTCGCGGCGTTCGAACAAGTGACGCTATTGTTTGGATGTCGTTCGAGGCGACATGGTTTGGATGTCGTTGAGGCGAGCACCTCCTCTTCACTCGTCCCACAGAGGTTTGGGTTTGGCGGTCATTCGTGAAGCCCTGGCTTACGGGGTGCAGCGGCTCGTCCCATCATTTTGATGAGGTCAATAGGAACAGCGTCATCAACCATGCGACAAGTTGCCTGCGACTGTTGCTGTGGATGTGGTGTCTTGCATCGGGCTGCTGCACATGAGCCCTCAGGCTCATCCGCAGCAAGCTCTCACGCAAACAGGGTAGGTTGTTCCTGAGTAGCGAACTGGTGTCGACATCCTGCGTCTTGATACCCGATCCCTACCCTAGTAAGGTACGCAACATTGGCCCCGCCATGTTCACGCGGGACGGCCTTTGACCCGACACCCGAGCTTCACATCCACAGGGAGCACAGAAAGGATGCTGCTACATCAAGGCAGTCTGTCTCTGCAGGGCGCGGCAGAGACGTGCTCTCGCTTCACCAATCGAGACAGGACGCCTAGATCTTGCTTCCGATTTGCATCTCTTTCCGTACGAGCCAATTTGACAGACACCATGACGAAGAATCACGCTCTCATCTATGGTTCGTCACGTCCCGCCTCCATGCTGCAGGCTCACTAGGCCAGTCCTAACTAAAATCCACAGGCGCCAGCGGCATCACTGGCTGGTCCATCACAAATGCCCTGCTCGAGGGGTACCCGTCCAAAGACACCTTTGCCTCGGTCACGGCCCTGACGAATCGACCACTGGACCCCGATGCCGCGTTCTGGCCAAAATCGGAGAAGCTCCAGATCGCCAGCGCGTCGACATCTTGACCTCGAAAGGCAAGACGGGTTCGAAGCAGACCTCAGGGCCAAGGCAAGAATATTGCCAACATCAGCCATGTCTACTTCTTTGGGGGGTCATAAGAAAAAACACACAGCCATCAACAAGGACCGGCGCCATGTTGATACGAGAAACACGTAGCCTACATCATGGACACCGATCCGGCGAAAGAGTGTGAGATCAACAAGGAACTCATCAAGCGCGCCGTCTCCGCCGTCGAGAATCTGTCCCAGAATCTCAAATTCGTTGTCCTGCCGACCGGGACCAAGGCATACGGCGTGCACCTTCTCGACGAAAACTTTCCCTTTAAAAATGACCTGCCCCTGCGAGAGTCTTTGCCTCGCATCCCCGAGCCGTACGCCTCGCAGATGTTTTACTACGACCAGACGGACATGCTCGTCGAGATGGCCAAGGGCAAGTCGTGGACCTGGTGCGAGGTGATCCCAGACAACATCATCGGCTTCGTGCCCAACAACAATATCTACTGCCTCGCGCAGACGGTCGGCACGTACCTGGCGCTCTACGCCGAACTCCAAGGCAAGGGCGCCGAGGTCCCGTTTCCGGGCACGGAGCGGTCGTGGCGCAACCTCAGCAATGAGAGCAACCAGGACATTGTGGCCAGGGTCTGCATCTACGCGTCGCTGCACCCGGAGACGACGGCCGAGCAGCGGTACAATGCGACGGACAACTCTCAGCCATCGTCCTGGAGCGAGAAGTGGCCCATCATCTGCGAGTACTTTGGCCTCAAGGGCACAGCACCGCCCAAGGGCGGCTCAGGGCCGCAGCCGGCCCAGTATCTCGCGGATCACTTTGACGACTGGAAGGCGCTTGAAGAGAAATACGACCTTGTCAGTGGGAGGGTGGGCAATGATCGCAGTTTCGGGCCTTTCGCCTACTTCATCATCACCATGCTCGACTTTGATCGACAGATGGACCTGAGCAAGTGCCACGAGATGTGGGGGTCTGCAAAGGAGGAGATTGATACCAAGACCTCGTGGTGGACGACGCTGGACCGGTTCCGCAAGGCCAAGATCATCCCATGAGTTGGTGCTGGCCACAGGGCCCGACGAGCCCAGTATGTGCCTAGATACAATGCCATTGATCACTGCCAACCGCCTGTACATGCAAAAGTGACTCCAACAAACAAATGGCTTCTGGCTTCTGGCTTCTAGCTTCTAGCCTCTGACAATTTCCCCGCATGCCCGAGGTCCGTTCCAAGGCCCCCAATTACCCCAACCAACCTCGAGCCATCTTCCTCATTGAGGAATCCTCAAGGATCCGCCGACCAGAAGTCGCCCCGGTTGGAGGCCGGGGTACGTTGAGGGGAAGTGGGGAGGTGGAGTCGTAATGCCGCGGCAGTCTGCGGAGAGGAACAAGACTTCCAGCCGAAGCTTTCTGTTATTATTCCTATGTGTGCCCATCACCTGCTCTCGATGATATGCTCCTTCAATCTTTGTACGACATAGCATAAACGCTATTCATCTTTGTTTATTCCGCCTTCTCGACTGTCCGCCTTGTTACTGTCTATCTGCAGCCCAACGATACCCTAACCCTGATAAACGAAGCGGCGTCATGTCACATCCCACACAGCACCAAATCTCGAGGGCCCTGCCTTCAGCCGGATCCCCCCCATGGGTCAAGGGCCAAGCTGGTCCCTCTGGGCCATTGAAAAGATTCAGGATGTGTTCGACTGGGTCAGAGAACGAATACATTCCCCGCGAACAAGTCATGAAGGCACAGCTCGAGGGCAAACGATGGACGACACCACCTCTGATTCATGAGCTCCGCGAGCGAGCGAAGGAACGCGGTCTATTCAATCTTTTCCCTGCCAAACCACTTCAAAGAGAGCCCGGGTCTCACAAATCTCGAATACTCGTGCTGCGCTGAGATCATGGGCCGCTGCTACTGGGCCGCCCAGACGATGAACTGCCACGCTCCCGAGACGGGCAACATCGAGCTCCTCGCAAAGTACTGCTCTCCCGAGCAGAAGGCGAAGTGGCTTCAGCCTCTTCTCGATGGTACGGCCTCCTCAGCCTACTCCATGACCGAACCCGACGTGGCCTCTTCGGACGCCACCCAGATTGGCATCTCCATCCGCCGCGACGGCGATGAGTATGTCATCAACGGCCGCAAGCTGTACGGAAACTGCCTCTGGAACAAGGAGCTCTCCTTCTACATCCTCATGGGCTGCACGGCGCCCGACCACCCGGACAAGTGGCGCCGCCACTCCATGCTCATCGTCCCCTGCGACACGCCCGGCATCACGCAGGTGCGCAACCTCACCATCATGGGCTACGACCACGCCCCCGAGGGCCACGGCGAGTACAAGTACGACAACGTTCGCGTGCCCGTGGGCAACGTCATCCTCGGCGAGGGCCGCGCCTTTGAGATCGCCCAGGGCCGCCTCGGGGCCCGGCCGCATCCACCACTGCATGCGCCTCATCGGCCAGTGCGAGCGCGCCTACGAGCTCGCCCCTCGTGCGCTGCATCGACCCGCGCAAAAAGCCGCGCGCCCGCTTCATCGGCGACTTTGACTCCAACATTGAGCGCGTCGCCCAGATGCCCTCGGGTCGAGGCCGCGCGCCTTCGTCGTCCTAAACGCCGCCGACACGATGAACCTGCTCGCAACAAGGCCGGCAAGCGCGCCATTGCCCCAGAGCAAAGATTCTCGTCCCCCGAGCTTGCCGCCCCGCATCATCGACGAGTGCATGCAGATTTACGGCGGCCAGGGCCTCACGCAGCACACGCGCTGCCGGAGATGTGGACGTATTCACGCTTCGTTGCGCGTGGCGGACGGGCCGGACGCGGCGCACCGGCACCAGGTTGGGCGGGAGGAGATGAAGACGGCACAGGGCTTCCGCGACAGGCATCAGGCCTACCTGGACAGGTACAAGAAGTTTGCCGAGCAGTATGGGGAGAAGTTTGTCTCTTTTGAGTAGTGTACGAAGCATGTTGAAAGCGATGTACTTTCTTTTCTTATTACTAGGACTATGGGAGTTGATGAAGAACGAATTGAGGCTGTTTGGGTCAATGTGCTGATGCGTCACCATCGAGCGTGACCTGCTTTTTCTTCCCAAAACCTGCCTTGTCCACGAACGCTTGATCAAAATCTTGATGATAAAAATCTTGATGATAGAGTTGGAAGCTCAATACCAAAAACACTCATGCGTTTGAGAAAACAGCTCAACCGCGATGGGCTGCGTCGCCATCCTCGCTAGTGTCAACCTCCCACTGCCGCTCCACAGTGATACCCATCCCCCCTTTAAGTCCCTTCAAGCTCCTCGATGCTGCTGTACGGTCCAGATACAACCAAGGTATCCCCTCACCGGCATGACAGGGCGAAGCTGGATCTCCGACGCATCATCCTGAAGCTCTTCAAAGTCCCGATTCCCGCTGCGCTTGCTGCCCTTCTTATAGCTTTCCGTCTTTGGCTTCACGTTAGCATAGCTCGACCCCTTCTGCGATGAGCTGAATACGCCTCCGAATAACGGCCGAAGGAAGGGCACACACGCGAGCGCCAGAGCGACAGATGGCTCCAGGCCCGACAGAAGCGTCGCAACAGCACCGCTATGTGTCATATCGGCGAATTGGAGATCGGGCAGCGTGGCCTGTCGATAGATTGTGATGGCGCACGTGGCAAAACCGACGCTGAACATGCTGATTATGACAACCTTCTTGCGCGTGGGCATCTGCAGGTTATAGAGCACTGGGAGTGGCAGGGCAAGCATAGTGACCTCGACGAGAATGTTGATGACCCCCAGTGCCATGTAATACATGGGCTGATTGCCACACTTGCCGCCGGGGATCGTCTGGTCCCAATTCATGGCGAATGGGCGGCAAACGAGGACGCCGCCGAGGATACCGCCGGTGTTCCAGAGGATGATGAAGACTGCGAGTATTTTGCATGGGAGTATTACGCGGCGTACGGGGAAAATGCTCATGTACATGAGGAGGACCGAGAGCTTCGTAAAACAGGTCGTTGCGTTCCAAAGCAGTGCAAACACCATGATGCACTGGCAGCGTCAGTAAGATAGGGGGAAATCGACATTGAGAGGCTGCAAACCTTGAAAAAGACTGTAAGGACGTCTGGACCAAAGCGCATGGCAATGTCCTGGACATGGAATCCAAATCCTCCATGCACAACCATGATGAAGACATCGGCATGTAGTGCGGTATTGAAGAACTGCAAACATGAACAGTGAGCTGGATGCAATATAGCAAGCATTTTCTTTTCAAAGAAAGTCCGTGTCAATACTGACCAGTGCTACAAGAATGCAAGCATCACTGGCGTTGAGTGCCTTTTTCGATTTCTTCTTGGCGATGAGTCGAAGAGCCACCATGAAGCTGGTTATAAGCAGGCAGAATGTTGAAGCGGCTATCAGACCTCTCTGCTTTCCGTTTTCTATTGGTATCGCGGACTCAAGCGCCACAGGCATGCTCTCAGCGGTCGCCATGATGACTGCGACCAGTGACAACGGAGTGCTGCTTCGTCAGGCTGACCAGCATGGTAGAAAGACTCTCCTTTAAGGCAGCTGATGTGCTCGTTTCGACGAACTGTTCAAAGAGGGATTGTAAAGTGTATGAACCATGTAGGCATAGACGCAAAGAAACCTGTATATACCAGAAAACTCACGTACTCCGTCATGTTTTACACTTTTCTCATATTCTACAGCGGGAAGACGAAGAGACAAGGTCCGCCACGGTTAGCTAACCATTCAAGCGGCTCCGATTTGGCTCTCGTGCAGACTCGACCCAAAGTTCCTAAATGTGGATGCCCAAGAAAAGGCCCCGCCCGCTTGGTAACGAAGGGGCCACCTTAGCATCCCGATTGTGCGGGCATGGCAGAGTCATGATGGGGCCAGTAATCCGAATTCCCGAGTTAGGGTCAAGAGAAGGAGCAGATGCAACGAAGTGGTACGAGTGAAACCACCAGGTATGTTTGCTATCGCACCAAGATCGCCACTTGGCAGCCTCCTCGTAGCTAGCAGCAACCATGGTTAACACGGGCAAGACGGGGTACCGTTTGACAGACAGGGAAGCCTTGGCTATGAACAGGGGGCCCAAATACCTCGGGATCAGACGTTTTCTTCCTCTACGAAAGATGGCTCTTGGTTTTATTCCCGTGTATCTCCCACATCGCCTTCTGTGATGTTGCTGTTGGTAGCCCCTGAATGCTTTTGCCTGGTCTCACTCGAACCGCTACATCGATCCGCGCACAGCACACAGACGCTCACTCGTTATTGACAACTTTCAACCAAGAGATTATTTTCATAAGCTCGTCTGAAGCATGGGATCATTACTTAAAGATCATGAGAAGGTGGCTATCGTTACCGGCTCAACTGTATGTACTTCCTAGGACATTTGTGGTGTTCACCCAGTCCGAGCGGTTCTGAAACACAGAAAAGTCTCTGATCTGACGGTCCTTCAGAGCGGTATTGGCTTGGCAGTAGCCAAACACCTGCACGATAATGGTTACAGAGTAGTCATAACCGGTCGGCGACCCGAAGGACAAGCAACAGCAGCATCAATCGATCCAACAGGCAGAACAGTCATCTTCGTTCGGACCGATGTTGCCTCGTACGCATCGCAAGCCAACCTATTCAAAGTGGTTTGGGATACATGGGGGCGCTTGGATATTTTCATCGCCAACGCTGGTGGTGTCGATGAAGACTCAAAATACAACTTTCGTCGCCGCGATGCATCGATTGATGACATCCCGCCGGAGCCCAATACGACTTGCACCGACACACACTTCAAGGGCGTTATCTATGGCACGACGCTTGCGACACATTTTATGCGCCATAATGAAACGCCAGGCGGCAAAATTGTCATCACGGGTAGCATGATTGGGCTTCACACGGGCTCGACGTTCCCAGAGTACAGCTCGGCCAAGGCAGCTGTACACCATTGGACTCGCACAATGGCAGCACCTCTCAAGCTCAAGGAAAATATTACTATCAACTGCGTTATGCCTGGAGCAGTCGATACGCCGGCTATGCCGAACTTCTCCGAAGCGTTTCAACCAGAGCAGTGAGCTAGCTTCCTTAACGTTTGTTCTGCATCTGAAGTCAATGGCGCTAACGGGTTGGGTAGTTTGACACTGATGCCCACATTAATTGAGGCCTACGATGTCTTCATCAAGGATGAATCTAACGAAAAGACGGGGCAGCTTGTTGAGGTTGCGCACGACAAGCACTTTTACTACGATCTTCCAGAGTATAAAGGTGGCGATGTGTCGTATCGCAACACGCTGGCATTCGAGCCGTGGTTTTCCTACATCCACGGAGAGAAGAGCGGTCTCAAGGATGCACTGGAGGGACCTCCCAGTAAGCCTTTGACTCGACTTTCGTAACATCGCTATCACCTCGACGAGTCGATAGCTTTTGCTGCGCGGCCAAGCTTCGGGATTTGAAGGAGACAGGAATCACACCACGGAACAAAATACGAAAAGAGCATCTCACGGGAAATATTTTTACTCTTGGTGGCTTGGGACCTACTGACGCTTGCGTGATGAAGGTTGCATTGATGTGCGTTCATGTCGTGCTGACCCACGGCCAAGTTTCATGCGGTGGAGAAGAACCTCACGGTGTCAGGCTCCCCGGGGAGATTATCTTCACTTTGGGCCCGCTTCCGCAGGATACCTCGGCGCAGGGCCGTGCCGAGCCGGCACAAAATGGCCCGAGCTAGTGTAATGCTCCTGGGATCGAGGCGCTGAACACTAGCCATACAATTCACTACAGTTATAATTCAAAACTTCCAACAAGAACTGTCTTGATCAGTAACATCTTGATGTCTTTTCGGTTTCACAAGGTACTCGGTTCTATCGACGAGACAGGCAGCGCAACAGTGGAGCGATCATGCGGTGTTTTGCCAGGTGGGTCGACTGGGACAGAGGGTGACTTTTCCGGCCGGTGGCAGCCAAGCGCTCCAATGCTTGTCTGGCGGAATTCACCATATCCCTGGTTTTCGACTCTGGACATGCATTGGCCACCAACGTACGATACCGTCGGTGGAAGGCTTGGAAGCCCACTCTTTCTGTCTCTTTCAAAAAGTTGCTCCTTAGTTCCAGTTGTCCGGGAATCGCGTGAAGGTTGACAATGCATAATGTGATGGATAGGGGTAGAACGTGGATCGCCAGCTGCAGCAGCCTTCGATCTTCCTCGTGTACCATTGGATTTCATGTAGAGATCCTTCCATATTTCTGAAATCCTCACTTTGCATAACTGTCAGTTGGACTACATATGTTTCCAAAACTTTCCAAGATCTTGTTCTCACAAACCATATCCCAAGCATAACAACATCCATCATGTCAACCAAGATCCTTGCCGTAACCGGCGCCACAGGCATCCAAGGTGGAGGCGTCATCAACGTCATGAAGAACGCATCCAACTGGAGAGTTCGTGCCATTACACGAAACCCCAAGAGTGACGCAGCAAAAAAACTTGCTAGCGAGGGTATCGAGGTAGTTCAGGCCAGCTTCGATGACGAAGAGTCTCTCGTCAAGGCGTTCGAGGGCGTTTCCGCGATCTATGCAGTCACAAACTGGTGGGAGCATCTCTTTAGTGGCAAGACGCAGGATGAGGCCGGAATACTCGAGGAAGAACAGGGCATGAAAATAGCCAGGGCTGCTGCCAGAACGCCCTCTCTTGAGCACTATCTTTGGTCCACCACACCCAGCGCAAAGCGCGTTTTCAAGGGCGAACTGGTGACGCCGCATATGGACTACAAGGCCAATGTCGATGAGCGGATTCAAAAGGAGCTCCCTGGGCTTGCGGCGAAAACTACTTACCTCTACTTTGGTTATTATCCACAGAACCTTGTCTGGTATCCCATGCTCAAGCCCACTGAGTTTGTGAGTCGCGATCTTTGTCGCTGTCTAGGAATGACATGCAACAGCTGTGAGCAATAAATTGCTAACTACAAGTAGCCTCCTGGATCTGGTACCTACGTCCAGATTATTCCGTCGCGCCCAGATGCGAAGGTCCTGCTGTCAGGTGACATGACCGTGACGCCTGGCCTTTGGACAAGACAGGTCCTGGCCAAGGGTGCCGCGACTTTTGGAAAGTACACCAACGTCGCTTTGGAGAAGTGGACATTCCAACAAATGAACGAAGTCTGGGGCGAGATCACCGGGAAGCGTGCTGTCTACGTGCCGTGCTCCGCTGAGTCCTGGGAGACGCTTTGGGGTCCCACGGGCAAGGAGCTAGCTTTGCAATTCAAGTTCGGGGAAATGTGCGACCCCTGGGAGGAGAAGGACGGTCTATTTCTGGGCCCCTCAGACTTGGATATCAATCCAATGGAGGTTCCCGGCTTCAGAGAAACCATCACTGGGCTCAAGCACATGTTCGTAAACTGATTCAAGGCAAAATGATCGTTCGCTCGAGAAGAGTCATAAACTTTCTGAACGCCAGCTCTCGGGTTCGCTTTTTGTTCGTCAGGGTGACTGAAAAAGGGCAAAATAGGCGACGCAATCTTTTGAGGGCTTCATATTTGAGTAGAAGATGGCTGCATTGTCTTCTTCTTTTTACCAATGTTGTCAATCACGATCAAGGGTCCGGCAAATGCTGTTGTTCGTGTGTGAAAACCATGCAAAGTCTCGCGGACGGCGGACGAGAAACAATTGTGATCAGGTCATGAAATCGTTAGAGAAGCTCAAGCTCCCACTCTCCATGCAGAGGAGTCATTCTCTTCTTAGTGCATATAGTACCAACCGGAGACCTAAAGGCCGTTGCTCTTGCAGCTGAACACACCTCCTACTGTCCCAGCTTCAAACTGATCAATGATGCCCTGAACACTCACATAGGTGCCCAAAGTGAGATACAAGAAGCCAGTCAAAATGATGACAGCGTTGAGCGCCACGGAAAGCTTGTCCAAAATCTTTCGGCGCGGCACGCCATGCTTGATATCGGCGTTTCGCATGCGGAAGTAGGCCAGGCCCCAGAAGATGAAGCCGAACCAGCAATTGAAGAGCGACGACATGACGGAGAGCACTTGGACCAGTCAGAACCTCCGAAAGCACGACAGAGGGGACGATTGACTTACAGGAGGAGAAGAAGGGGATGACCTCCGCGATAATGAAGGAGAGCACCCAGCTTCCGAGAAGGACCAGCCCCCAGTAGAACCAGCCCTTGAAGGTGTGCTCCGTGAGATGTTTCGACTGGTGGAACATGCGGAAGAAGATGAAGCGTCCGGTGACGGAGGCGTAGAGGCAGCCGACGAAAATGATCGTTGGAATCATGAACGAGTATGACACCTTCTTGTACACGTTCTCCAGCACGCCAAAGGCCGGCGCTACCATGTACTGGTTGCCGGTGTAAGCATAAATGACGGAGCCCACGATGCTAAAGGTGACAATCTCAGCGCAAGTGCAGGCCCAAAGGGCCTTGGGGAAATCGCTAGGACCTGTGTTAGAAAAGGCTCCATAGGCTTGTACCTCGAGTCGACATACCGAGGGTCGCGCATCTCAGCGATGAAGCTGGGCAAGGTCGTCTGCCCGATGAAAGTGTAGCTCATGTTCATGAAGGCCGACATGCCGGTGACGAGAGTCGTCGTGGAAGGCGTCCAAGCCGAGACTATCGGCTCGCCCAACTCGGGATAGCCTGCAGGCTTGCCCTGAGCCCCAGCAAAAGCCGTCGCCAGGATGACGGAAATGAAGGTGAAGAATGCCGAGGCGAATCCAAGAGTGGAGAGCATGTTGAAGGTGCGAGGCAGGGAGCCAAGCCAGCTGATCACCGTGACAGCGACGGCAAACGCGACTGTGCGGCAAGCGTGGATGGTGTCTGCCTCAGTCATGGTGTTGAGATAGATGCCGCCGACGAGCACGTGAAGGGCCTGGATGAAGGTGTTGTTGAGAGCGAACATGATGGCGGTCCACCACCAAGCCCACTTCTTGTTCCAGAAGATCATTTGTCCGACGTCGCAGACGTCGCGCACTTCGGGGTGTCTCAGACAGAATTCCCACAGCACCAGACTCGTGTAGAGCACCAGACTCGCAACGACGGCTGTCAGGATGAGGCCGGGGACCAAACCGAGGAGGCTGTAGGACCAGGGAAAGCTCATGATGGAGAGAACGATGTACTCGGAAAAGAGAAGACCAGCCGTCTTTTGCCACGAGCAAGTCCTGTACTTGATGCCATTACCTTCCTCTGCGTCAACTTGCTTCCCCATGATCTCGGCAGCGGAACCGACATCACTGTCGCCCTCTTGGTGATTCGGCAGCAAGTGGGCAGCAACCGGCTCAATACGAGGCCCAATGACAACGTTTGGGCCGCCGAACGCGGACGCGAGCCACGAGGACTGCTTTGGTGCGTTTGTGCTGTCCCGCTCCGGGTCTGAGTCGGACGTCGTCTTCAATTTCGTCTCCATAATGGAAGTCGGTTCTTCAATAACAGCGGACAGTATCGCACTTGGAAGATCGGGTACCTTGAGGGGGCAGAGGAAGAAACGAAATCTGCAACAAGAGCTTTTCCAGATTGCGAATCAGGCTCTGGGCCCAGGTTGGTTTTAAGGTCTCCGTGGAAGAGGATCCCGTGCAACGTCACCACGACCGTTGCTCATTCGAAGGGGACGTCTGCAGCGATCTTGACTGGAAACGGTTCGACTGGTAAAAAGCTTGGGTGGGGCGCTGGAGAGGAAACATCCTCCTGCACCCTGTCGTTCATTCCAACGGTTGCGCCAAAGAGCGAGGCAAAATTTATGCTTAATCCGCGTGGTCAAAGGGCGCCCGCCGACAGATGCCGTCGCTTCTGTTCACATGTCTCGCTTGCAAGCAAACAGCACGCACAATGAAGCACTTGCCAGCGTGTCAATTTACTCCATGTGCCCTTCCTACTTCGACGAAGCTTGTTGATAGCAACGAATCTCCAACACGAGGCTCTTCAACTGTCAAGGCTCGGTCATTCCGAGCACCCCTGAAAGCGAAGAGGTATGGCCTAGACCCAGCATGGAATAGGGACCATCAGGAGCCAAGTACAGACAAGCTCATGCCCCACCTTGGCGCCAATTCCTTGGCCGATCTAGGCATTGCGTGATGTCAGCACCGAGCACGTCATGGGTTCCAGAGATGGAGGATCTGGATTGCGCATCTTCTCGCCAATGGTATCGATTGTTCGGACTAATGGACGCGGCATCTCTTGCACGACTACCGACGTTTCGCGTCCGACGCAGAATACAATATGGCAGCCTGACGTCGATGGCTGTCAAGCTTGCAGCTTGGCCGTGGGTTAAACGCCTACACTCTACCCGTCACAGGCTGCCTGACAGGGCCCCCATGTCGATGGTGAGGCGAAGGGGGAAGAAGATAGGTACGCTGTACTTCATCGACTTCCATTGTTCGACACACCCTCAATTCTCCCAGGCGAGGACTCTTTTGGGTGTTGCTGGATCAGAACATCGAGAAAGCCGCATGGCACACGAAATCTGCGTCACCCAGCGGGGTACCTCGCTGCATGCGGTAGAGGGTGAACTCCGTCCCATTGGAGCTGCGTCAGACGACTGAGCTTACCGCTGACAATCGCCCTCTCAACCCAACCCCGCATCTCCGACCTCCTACACATTCCGGTGTAGCCATCCAACCTTCTGGAGCACGAATGCAACTGTAAACCTCAAACGAACATGAGCTCTACCACTGTAGCCATCGCTGGTGGCACCGGAAATCTTGGCTACAAGATTGTCCAGGCGCTGCTATCAGACCAACTCCGCCCGCGCTTCCGCGAGCTGGTCGTCTTGGCTCGCAACGAATCAGAGAAAACCGCCAGCCTCAAATCAAAAGGAGCGACGATTAGGCTGTATTCCGAAGGCAACCTCAAGTCTGCCCTCGAAGGGGTCAATGTCTTGATCAACACGTGAGTCCCACCGCGCAATCAACATGCTGTAGATACTGATTGGCCGCCAGAGTCGGTGCGACAGGCCACCATTTCAAAGAGCAGCTGCTCTCGCCCTGCCGCAATCCTCCGTGAAGCTCTACTTCCCATCCGAGTTTGGGGTTGATCACTACGTGCACGACTTTGCGCACGACGAGTGGGATGCCAAGAAGAACCACATACGCCTGGCCGAGGAGCTGATCCCTGAGATACGCGTTTGCCGCGTCTTCCCCGGCCTCTTTCTGGAAGACTCGATCGGGCCCTGGTTTGGCTTCCACACAAAGCTGAACAGGTACGAGGCCGTGGGCAGCCCGGACGAGGCGACGTCCTACACGAGCATGCACGACGTGGGACGCGCCCTCGCTGCTCTGGCGGTGTTGCCTCCCGCTGAAGTTCCTGAGAAGGTGCACCTCGCTGGCGACACCAAATCAGTCACAGAGATTGCCAGGATTATGGAGGAGGCGAGTGAGGACCAGAAGCCAATCGAGGTTTCGACCGTTGATTTGAACCCCTACAAGGCCAATCTTTTAGCCAACCCAGAGCCGACGCCTGAAAAGTACCTACGTTTCTTGATGGGAGAGGGTCTTATTAAACACACTGCTGGTGGTCTTGGGAACGACAATTCGATTATCGAAGGGGATGGGGGCTTTGGAAAGTGGAAGTCGTTGAAAGATTTGGCTCTCGAAACCAAAGGTAAGCCTTGGGCTGACTATTAATAAGGAATGAAGAATTAGCATCCGAAATTACGAAATGATTCGTAGAATTTACTCTTCAAGGCCCAAGATTTTGATGCTGCCAGGGATTGAGGCGATATCATGCCGGTACGGCATTTCTTACACTTTGCCCTATTGGCGCGAGTGCGTGGGGGAAGAAGCATTCCCCATTCGTCCAGACGCGGGGGTAAGTCACCTCAGCCTGTCCTTCATGAGCAACGAGCTGAAGAAGCTGAAGTGACCCCGCTTCTGGCATGTTTCTTGTGAATGTTTGATTGCACATCTGAGGCTACACAAATATACGGTTTGTCTTCTTCTGTAGGCCGTTTGAAGCGGCCCTGGCGCTGATATAGGCCATGGGGCTAATTAATAAACTGCGAGAGCGCCTGGCTTCGGCGTCAAAGCTAACCCAGACGCCGTCGTCAAACTCAAAGACCACGAGGCCCTGGATTACCCCCGGGAAAACCACGACAGCCGAAACAAACGTTGAAAGACCACTCATCTCAAAGAATAGGGAACATCCAGCACTCGAGGAGGATCACAAGTATCTCGAACCATCATCTCTACTAACTGATCTGACCACACAAAATGGGCCCGATACTCCTCGCGACTCGCGTTCTCTTTGGAAGCAAGCATACGACAAGCTTCGGGAGGAAGAAAGTGGCCTTGTGTTGGACTTTCAGACACTCGCAGCTCAAGAAGTTCAGCGACAAAATCAGCCACCAAGATTGCTGGGAGATCCGGCGCAAGACCAAGATCCGACACACCACGATGTCCAAAGGCTGTGCCAAGATGGCAAGCAACGGATGGAAGATGCAGAGATTAGGTTCAAACTCAGGAACAAGGATCATAAAGTCGGTGAAATATTCGACAAGGGCATTCGCGTTATAGCCTGGGGTAAAGATCTGGTGTCCACAGCGCTGGGCAAGACGGCGTCTTTCGAAGTCTCCATTGTTTGGGCTGCCACCATCTTGGTCCTTCCCTTGCTGGAGAACGTCCAGAAGGCTAAAGAAATGAATGACAGCGGCTTCATCTACGTCACTGGGACTCTGAAGTACTTCCTGGCTCTTGAGCCAGAGTTTCGGAAAAGCCACGGTTCGTGCTCACAAGAGCTCGTTGATGCTGCCGAAGAGAGCATCGTAGAGCTGTACAAAGCCATACTCTCCTTTCAGCTCCTGTCAGCCTTACGGTTCAATCGGCGCAAGCTGAAGAATAAGTTCAGAGATGCTTTCGACTATGACGGCTGGGAAACCATGCTGCAGAGGGTGAAGGACGGCGAAAGCCT